AGACCAGAGCCATGTCTGCTGAGAGCCGCCGGAACTAGGGACAAGCTCCAACAGAGGTGAGAGTAAAGTACCTCCAGCAAATCTGTGTGAGGATTTTACAACAAGATTTCAACAACACTATTCTTCTGTTTTCTTGTGACTGCAGGCGTCTGAGGAGCAGGTTGGACCTAACGGAGAAACGTGACCAAAACAAAGGTGAGGTGTGCGTGAAGAGGGGAGTCTGGGCCACTCAGACGGCTGCCTCTGTGACCCGGCCCAGGATAAAGTGGAAGAAAATGGAAGGATGTGTCCAGATGTGCCCAGAGCAACTGAGGGATGGAGAAAGTTTAACTGAAGACACACTGAAGAAATCCAAATGTGGTCATAATAAAAACCAACCAATGGTCAGATTCAATACTTTCATTTCTTATTTCAGTCATAGTAAGTTTGTGTTGAAGTGTTGTTACTTGTGACCAAAGGAGAACAGTCACACACTATTTTACAATAATTGTTCCTGGGTCCTCTAAAAAATACTTAGTTTTCCACCAGATTTAGTAAAACAAGTGCCTAAAACTGGTTAATATATATTGAAATACAGAAAAAACAAGCTAACACACACACCAGTTTGTTAAACATGTTTTATTCCTTTTTCACTATTATTGGTTCATTTCAGGCATCAGCAGATATTGAAAGCCAAGGTACTGGACGTGGATTTATGCATTTTAGTTAATAAGAATTATGATAATGCATCTGTTTATAATATATATATTATATATACAGTGCCTTGCAAAAGTATTTACTTTTTACGTAGTTTGTTACATTACAGCCTTTAGTTCAATGTTTTTTTAATCTGAATTTCATGTGATGGATCAGAAAACAATAGTCTAAGTTGGTGAAGTGAATTAAAAAAATATATACATAAAACTGTGTTTTTCAGAATAAAAAACTGGAATTTGGCATGTGCATATGTATTCACCCCCTTTGTTATGAAGCCCATAAAAAGCTGTGGTCCAACCAATTACCTTCAAAAGTCACATGAATAGTGAAATGATGTCCACCTGTGTGCAATCTAAGTGTCACATGATCTGTCAGTACATATACACAGCTTTAAGTGTCACATGATCTGTCAGTACATATACACAGCTTTAAGTGTCACATGATCTGTCAGTACATATACACAGCTTTAAGTGTCACATGATCTGTCAGTACATATACACAGCTTTAAGTGTCACATGATCTGTCAGTACATATACACAGCTTTAAGTGTCACATGATCTGTCAGTACATATACACAGCTTTAAGTGTCACATGATCTTTCCGTACATATACACACCTTTTTTGAAAGGCCTCAGAGGCTGCGACACCGAAGCAAGAGGCACCACTAACCAAACACTGCCATGAGTAAGTAAGTAATCTTTATTTATATACCGCCTTTTCACTGCAGATCAGAGTCTAGAAGCGGTTTACAATTGTTAATTTTGGGCATTTGTCTCTCACTCCACACAGAGATGGGAGCGGGGTCGCCAGTACAGGAGGCGCATGCCAGAACTATTGGACATATTTTTAGTGGTAGGGGAAACCGGAGTACCCGGAGGAAACCTACGCAGACACAGGGAGAACATGCAAACTACACTCAGAAAGGCCCTGGTCCGACCGGGATTCGAACCCAGGACCTTCTTGCTGAGAGGCGAGAGTGCTATCCACTCAGCCACCGTGAAGTTCCATGAAGACCATGGAACTCTCCAAACAAGTAAGGGACAGTGTTGTTGAGAAGTACAAGTCATGGTTAGGTTATAAGCAAATATCCAAATCTTTGATGATCCCCAGGAGCACCATCAAATCTATCATAACCAAATGGATAACATGGCACAACAGCAAACCTGCCAAGAGCCGGCCGCCCACCAAAACTCACGGACCGGGCAAGGAGGGCAATAATCAGAGAGGCAGCACAGAGACCTAAGGTAACCCTGGAGGAGCTGCAGAGTTCCACAGCAGAGACTGGAGTATCTGTGCATAGGACGACAATAAGCCGTACGCTCCATAGAGTTGGGCTTTATGGCAGAGTGGCCAGAAGAAAGCCATTACTTTCAGCAAAAAACAAAATGGCACGTTTTGAGTTTGCGAAAAGGCATGTGGGAGACTCCCCAAATGTATGGAGGAAGGTGCTCTGGTCTGATGAGACTAAAATTGAACTTTTCGGCCATCAAGGAAAACGGTATGTCTGGTGCAAACCTAACACATCGCATCACCCAAAGAACACCATCCCCACAGTGAAACATGGTGGTGGCAGCATCATGCTGTGGGGATGTTTTTCAGCAGCCGGGACTGGGATACTGGTCAGAGTTGAGGGAAAGATAGATGGTGCTAAATACAGGGATATTCTTGAGCAAATCCTGTACCACTCTGAGCGTGATTTGAGGCTAGGACGGAGGTTCACCTTCCAGCAGGACAATGACCCCAAACACACTGCTAAAGCAACACTTCAGTGGTTTAAGGGGAAACATGTAAATGTGTTGGAATGGCGCTCTCATACGTCACTTTACTTCACTGTACTGCTGTCACCTTACATTGTGTGCACCATGTGCACTTGTATATTGTAAATAGTAACTGTAACTCTATTTTAAATTTAAATGTATTCTTTAGAAGTGTTTTTTATTCTTTATTTTTTATTATCTCTTTCTGAATGTTGCACTGAGCCAAAGAAATTTCCATGTCTGTGACTTCCTGTTACTTACGTGGCAATAAAAATGATTCTGATTCTGATTATATAAACAAACACAAATATATGATCGAAAGCCAATGAAGCATCATCACTGCCAAATTACTCAAAAACACAAAATGATGAGTTTTGATCATTTTATACATTTTACCTTTTTAAAAACTTTTTTTAAGTGTCTTAATAGATTAGCCCCTGAAGTATTGTGTAAAGAATTCCAAAGGTACAGCGGTGAGGGTGTGCAGACTCGAGCTGCAGTCAGTGGGAGCTGCAGAGTGAGAAGGTGCCGGACGAATCTGGGTCAGTCTCAGTGAAGGCCTCACATCTGTGCAACTCTTTGCCACTGGAGCTGAAGTCACTGTCGGACGTGAAACTTTTCTCCAAAAAGCTGAAAAAGTGGCTTAAGGAAAATCCAAAGTGTTAGCACTGAAACTGGATCTAATATGGACAAATGTTTCTTCACTGTTTTACAAAAGCCTAACCAGTGGGTGACAATGATTTTTTGTACTGTCCCTGCCAAATAAGTTTTTAAAAAAAATACAATGTGGTGATAAACTACTACTCTAGCCACAGCTGCCCTGCGGCACACTTACAGAAGCAAGGCAACCAGTAAATGCCATTTTCTACTTCAAACACTAACTATAGGTACACACACCAGACTCATTCTAGGCAATGTGGGTGAAGTGTCTTGCCTAATGACACAGTGACAGTTTGGCACTTTACAGCCACAGCCGCCCACTGTAACACCTGGTGTTCCCAGAGGTCTCCCATCACAGGACTAACCAGGCCCTGTCCTGTTTAGCTTCAGAGGTTGAACAGGATCTGTGCTCTCGGTGTTTTATAGTTAATTAGGTGTGATTCAAAATGTATTGCTTTGTCTGGAATGTTGCATTTAATGTTTATCATAGAAATGATTTACAGATAAACAAGAATCTGATGCAGACGATGATCAAGATGGAAGTGGACTGTATTTAAAAGGATGATAATTCCTAAATATGAATTACACATCTGTAGTAGTTTGTGCACATCTATATCACGAATGCACAATGTCTCTTGCAATGAATGGAGGGATTCAAGATGCTAGACTTTGGCGCCCTCTTCTGACTAAAGTTTACAATGACATTCTCCAAAAGCTCCAGTCTCTACTCACCTCTCTCTAAGATAAGATCAACCTTTAATTGTCCCTCAGTGGGAAATTTCAATGTCAGCTTTGCAGAAAAAAGAGCACTCAGGTTATGCACACATAGATAGATAGAATTTGCACCTTATAGATGGATAGAAACAAATCCATCCATACAAACAAAACAAATACATAGATAATTCTGAAAGTCGCAAACAAAAGTAGTATTAGTATTAAAATGCAGCAGCACTTTAGGTCACAGCAGCAGAGGTGCATCAAACAGGGTCTATTATTTAAGATCATAGATAATACAATAATACAATAATAAATGTCTGGAATAGACCTGGTAGGTCAATAATCACGTTTAATAACCTGTGGGTGCGTCGTTGTCATGGAGATACCGCTGCTCGCTCACTTCACTTGCTGTTGGTCTCTGACGCTTGTGTGGAACTGTGAACTCTCTCCGTCTCATTTGCGTTTGAGGATAAAGCGGTGGTAATAACACTGAGGCACTAATACACTTTGCAAAAGCACTTTGTTGACACTTTTCCAGGTCTGAAAACATCTTTGAACGGTCACTTTGTGAAGGATGGCTCGCCCCTCCCACGTCCTGCCCCTGTTCCCTGGAGGTAATACCACTGAAATGATCATACCTTGAGAAAAGGAATTTTACGTTAAAATCATTGGAGCCGTCAAAAGGACTGCTCTGAGAGTTAAAGGATGAACTACTAACATCTAAAAAAAAAAAAAAGATAAAAAAGATCATTCAATACATATGGTCCAGAGAGAAACCATAGAGAGACAAGAGAGAGACCAGAGAGAGACAAGAGAGAGACCAGAGAGAGACACGAGAGAGACCATAGAGAGACACAAGAGAGACCAGAGAGAGAGACAGACTAGAGAGACCGAAAAGAGACCAAAGAAAAACCAGAGAGAGACCAGAGAGAGACCAGATGCGTATACATTTCCAAAACTAAAAGCTGTCAAATTGACTGCTCTGGGAGTTCTAATGTTAGACATGTCCAACATCTTATTCACTCTTTTTTTAATATGAATATAAACATTTTTTGTCTAACATTCTTTGTGGGAATATAGGTTTTATGTCAAACTATTGCAGATTTAAAACCATGTTGCCTGTTTTTTTTGCCACCTGGTTCTGGAGAGAGCTTTGAAACGGACCATGTCATGTTCTCAGTCATCTCCTCGTAAGAAAGCACACTTTGAACTGAGCGTATGAACTGTTATGTCAGAGATTGGATCCATGTTTCTGCAGATATCTGTATAATGTATTTCTTTTCTTTTGCTGCTCTGACTTTTGCACAGTACTGTTCACAACACATCCCTGCTGCTTCATGTCAAAGTGATTGTGCTCGAGTCTATTTTGAAACATTATCTAATAAAATGAATCGTCAAAGAGCTCTTGTTCTTTCTTTGTCTGTGCCAGGTTGTACTGACTGCTTAGCTTCAGAGGTCTAACAGGATGCAGTTCTCCCATGCAGGTGGCACATGTGATAATCTGTATCCTGTATGATTCAAACGACCACAACTTGTGAAAATGCAAACTCACTTTGTAATAAATGATACATATTTGCTGTGGACACTAGAACCAAATCTAAAAAAACACTGACTTGCTTAAATGGAGAATATTTCTGAAAAAGAAGCAAAGCTCCCTGGGTGAAAGATGTTAGAGAACCTGGTAGAGACATTATGATTGAAAATAAGTAGCGTGACTAAACTACTCCATTAATAATAAAGAAAATAAATGAAACAGAAACAGCAACTCAAACATAGACAGTTGATGGACACATTATTTTAATTAGATCAAGACATATTTCACTCTTATGAAAAAAACTACTTTGTGACAATACTATTAGTGAAAGTGGAAGTTAAAGTTTGCTCATTTTAAAACACATTTTTAAGTCACAGGTTAGAATTGAACACAAGTGAAGTCTTTTCATGATGGAACAAAACACCAGGTAAATATTGACGGTAGTTTCACGTATTTATGTATTTGTGGTTTAGGGGAAAAGAAGCTAAATCAAAAGCTTTGAGAACATTGAAGCAACAACAACAAAAGTTTCCTTAGACGCCTCCGTCACTGGTTTCCCTGATGATGAAGACAGGTTTGCATCTGAAGAAATCCAGTATTTTCTGTTCTACATATAATTTCCTTTGAGAAAACTAAACTTTCAGTTAAGTTTCCCACACATGTAAACTGTTGCCATGACAGCAGTTGTCATGACGACCGGAATGTCATACTATGTCATCTCCATGTTCCGGAAGTCCCCAGTCAAAGCTTGTGTGGGGAACTCAAAATGACGGATAAACAATCAACCCGGTTATCCAAGAGTCGTGTTTGGAGACAGAAAGACAGAGACAGAGAGAGACTATCTATATATATTCTCATACATACTAGTGAAGAGTAGTAAAGAATAGTAAGAAATGGCCAAAAACTCTAGAAAAAGGAGGAATCAAAAAACATCTGACTTTTACGTCAGAACACAGAACATTTTTAAGCCGATTGAGGCAAATGTCCAAAGTTCTGACAAGATGGAGGTTAATCAAAATAAGTCTGAGTCAAGCTTTGACGCAGGCTCAAAGACACAACCTCAAGAAACCCAACCTCCAGTGGCCCCAGCCCCAACCTCACTGCGCCCAATCACAGAGGATCACAACGTGGACGCCAACAAAGAGGGATGGGAAGTTGTGAAACGAAAACGCAACAAACAAAAGCAAGAAAAAGTGGAAGAGGCCCCGACACCTCATCAGGGACGTGCTTCCAACTCAAGACCCAAGAACTCAAGACTCTCCAAATCACAGAGATCTGGGCCTCGTTGCACTGCTGAGAATGTGGAATTTACTCAAAGGAGATACCAAAGAAAACCTCAGAAACATTTAAGACCAGAAGCTGAAGTGAGCAACCCTCGAGTGGAGAGATCTGTGGAGCAAAGCAGGTCCCGGCAAACCCCAGGACATGGTGGTGAAAACAGAAAGCAGCGAGACAGACCTAGTGTCGAGAAAGTAAAAGGGTCTGAACAAACAAATCAGGCTCAAACTGATTCTAAACCTGTTGCTGCGGAGGTGAAATGGTACGAGCCAAAGCCAGAGATTGTGGTCTATCCCTCTCAGCCTCCAAAAGAGCAGAGGAGACCAAGGCGCCTTCCGAAATGTGTAGTTGAACGTACAGCCAATATGGAAGATTCTGATGATACTCAAGAAACGTTGAATGTAGAAGCAGAAATTCAGGCTCCAGCTGAGGAAGAGAAGAGGATTGAAGAGCAAGCCGAGATCCAAAGTCAGAAGAAGAAAAGGCGAAACAGGCGGAGAAAGAAATCAGCTAAAGAACCAGTGATTTTCTCTTCCAATATTAGACCATTGACATTGTCTGAGGGGTCCTATGATGGTCCTTTGGAGTTTGGAACAAGCTGGACCCCAGAAGAAGAGAAGGAAAAGTCTCTGGAGGTTCAGATCCAAACGGAAAACCCTGATGCCGAAGAGAGTATTCAAGAACCTCAGCCACCTGGGATCGTTTTGTTCAGAAAGACGGGTAATTTAACCAAGTCTGGAGATAAACTGTGGTTTGGCATGCCTGATGAAGAGGAGGATGATGAGATTTACATGTGGCAGCTGACGTAGACGCAGAAATTACAACTCCCACCCTCCCAATCCCCTCCCCCCTTCCCCCAAACATAGAACCAAGAACATGACCAACTCCCTTCATGTTTAGGACACAATCGGACGACTTTCCACAAGAATTGATTCTAAACCCAACTCCCCAAGCCTAAAATATAAAACAATCCCCCAGGTCTAAACAAAAAGTACTGTACTACTTTACTTTAATACACCACGAATGCATAACTAACTCCTAATCACCAGTAGGGGGCAGTCTTTGTCGATGATGGATGGTAAAAAAATACTATCTGGCATCAACCCTGACAGCCTTTCTGAGTGGAGTTTGCATGTTCTCCCTGTATCTGTGTAGGTTTCCTCCGGGTGCTCCGGTTTCCCCTACCACTAAATACATGCACAATAGGTCGAAATCCTCCAGCTCTGGTCCTGACCAAGCCGAGCATCAACATCTGGAGATGGTCCCAGACGCTGTCCTACGGCGACCACTGCTCCAGAGAGATGCTCAGATAGACGCAGAAGATGAATTGCCCTACAGGGATAAATAATGGGCTCATTTAATCCTAAATCCAAGTCTAAAAACAGCCAAAAACCCAATCCTAAAATATAAAACATTCTAAACAAAGACAGGTCCAAACAAAAAGTACTGAAGACCAAGAGACAGAGATATATATAAATAACTCCTTATCTCCAGTAGGGGGCAGTCATTGGGGGGTGTACAGTATAAAGTATTATCCCAAAGCAGCAAAAAAATAAAAATATTACACTAACTGTTTAGATTGATTTGATCCATGTCTGATAAAAGTATTTCTTAACAACAATAGATGAGCTTTTACTAGCTACAGTTTTGTTCGATGCTAATGTGATATGTGATTCGGGCATAAAATTGGGAACAAATAAACCAAATTGGTGCCACAATATGACCAGATCTAATCATAACTTTACGTTGCTTAAGGATCTTGAACGCCAGAATAGGTCGTTGTGTAATCGCAACAAGCACTACAAGCTACTTGCTGAAGGTAGTTTGGAAATAAACAAGGTGACGTCGCATGAAGCTGGGCTGTACACATGCATTGCTGAAAATATACTAGGTGCAGATACAAGAAGCATAACCGTTGGCGTACATGCTCGAGAAAGCCGTCGTAAAAAGGCAAATCTAACGTTTTTCCGAGTCAAGGTTAACAAATTGGAGTTAAGGGAAGTTGGTGAACGCTATGCTATCCTTTCCTGGCAAAATATTCGCAACTTACCTTCCACCCGCCTCTCGTGGCAAGCCATTTACACCAAGTTTTAATCTGACACATTTGCAACCGGAGACGTTTTATAGGGTTTGTCTTCACCTCGCTGTTGTTGAAGATGGGAAGCACAGCAGCAAAAGGGTACGGAATCCCAAGAAATCTCAATGTGTCACGTTTAGGACCAAGGAAGTCAAAGAACCGGAGACAAGTCTGCAGCTAAGACCAGAGTTGACGTCCACGGCGGTAACGCTTCTGCTGCTAGCGCTGATCCTGCTCGCTCTGGCAGGACAGAGCCTGGAGTCAGATGGTTCAAAGGGAGATCACGTGATGCTGCTGCAGGAAGTGAAAGGTGGGATTCAGGTCAAAGATGAGAAAGGAGGAGAGGAAATTGAGAAAGTGCCATTGTGATGGGTTAAACAGCAAAACATGACTCTAGTAAGTAGAATTTGGTCTGTCATATTTAACGGATACAGTACTTGCTGGACTATTAAATCCACATTACTTAGACAATAAACGTGTGCCCCATTTCCACTAAAACTTGTCAAAAGAAAGTTTAGAAACTCTGCTCTAACAATATCCCTAATCACATAAAAACAAGTCCTGTGTATTTGTGCACTTCCTTGTGTCAGCTCTCTTTGCTTTCCCTTCCTGTACCCCAGGGGGCGCCATAACGGGCTTGAGGGTTAAAAAAAAACATGAAAAAGTAGTCCAGAAAGTACTGTATTTGATTTAGTTGCCAAGTTGGGTCTAGCAAGGCTCAAAACAATCGGATTGGATGAACACTTACACCACTAAAATGTTACTAATTTTTCATGAAATTGTGATGCAAGTACAGACATACAGTAAAATCATAAAAGGCCACGCAAAATCCTGTACATATTTTATTCAGTTTGGCTGAAAATTGTGTTGATAATTAGGGTTGAAGGAGAAGAGATCCGTCCATTAAACCAAGAATCCTTGAAAACATGTTTCTGTATATTGCTGTCAATGACATGTGTGTGATACGATTGGATGAGCTGTAAACTGGACAAACCTGTTTGAACACACACTGACAATGATATAAAAAATGAGGAGTTAGAAATCCATGATCACGTTTGTATTGACCAAATTCTTTTGTATAAAGCCATGTAATGTTGTTGCCCAGATGATTATGATTGTGTTACAGAGTTACAGACACAACTTTACACACACACACACACACACACACACGCACAGATAGACACACACACACTAAGAAAGACAGACACAAACACACACACACACACGAAGATAGACAGACACATGCATAGCCACACACAGACAGACATACAAACACACACACGCACATCTACAACACTGTATGAAAACATGAAGAAAGATTGTAAATCCAGGCCGTTGTGTGTGGATATATAGATTTGTATTTATTTTCTATACCATTTAAAGTAAATATATATTGCCACTTTGCCATTGTTGTGTGTCAAGTGTTAATTGTACAGAATTAAGCCGAAAATGGACAATCGCAAACGCCGAATTAAAGAATGAATCAAAAGACATTTATCTGACGGTGGTTGGGGCTCCATCTTGTCCCCTCCTTTACAGACGTCATTGTTCCAGACGTTGGACGATAATGGACAGATTTGCTGCTTCCTTTTGCTTTGTCGGTTGGTAAATGGTGTGAACTTTGCTTTGCTTCCAGTCAGTGACACAGGGGTCGTTTTACAGCCTGACAGTACTGTGGAAAATCTCAATAACTTCATCGGACAAGGCCTAAAATGTTCCAACGTATGACATGGATTTCCAGATTTCCTGCAGCTACCAAAACTCCCAGAGCAGTGTTTTTGACGGCACCCGTTCAAATCAATGAAATTCTGAAAAAACCCCAGAAGACAGTTTTAGATTCCCACTAGTAAGGCAAGGCAAGGCAAGTTTATTTGTATAGCACAATTCATACACAAGGCAACTCAAAGTGCTGAACAAGATAGCATTAAAATCATAAATAATCACAGAACATTAAAACGAAAGATAAAAATATAAAATCCCTCAGTTGTATGCACAGCTAAACAGCACCGTCTTTAACTTGGTTTTAAACATTGTCAGAGAGGAGGCCTGTCTCACATCTTCAGGAAGATTGTTCCAGATTTTAGCAGCATGAATCTGAAAAGCAGCCTCCCCATGTTTAGTTCTGACTCTGGGCACTAACAGGAGTCCAGTCCCTGTGCTCCTCAGAGTCCCAGCAGGAGTCCAGTCCCTGTGCTCCTCAGAGTCCGGGCTGGTTCATATGGGACTAACATGTCACTAATATATTTTGGTGCGAGGCTATGGAGAGACTTGTACACAAGCAAAGCTGTTTTAAAGTTTATTCTCTGAGCCACAGGAAGCCAGTGCAGGGACCTGAGAACTGGACTAATGTGGTCGTACTTCCTGGTTCTAGTCAGGACTCGAGCTGCTGCATTTTGAATGTACTGCAGCTGTTTTACAGCCTGTTTGGACAGACCTGTGAGCAGGCCATTGCAGTAGTCTAACCTACTGGAGACAAATGCATGGATAAGAATCTCCAAGTCTGCTTTAGACACTATGTTTTTGATCCTGGCAATGTTTTTTAGATGGTAAAAAGCTGCTGATGTTACTGATTTGATGTGGCTATTGAAATTTAAGTCTGAGTCCAGTATTACCCCTAGATTTCTGAACTTGTTTGAAGGTTTTAGGGAGAGAGACTGTAGATGAAAGATGACGCTCTCTCTTTGTTTCTGGGGACCAAAGACCATCATTTCAGTTTTGTCTGCGTTTAGCTGAAGGAAGTTGTTTTGCATCCACTCACTGATCTGTTGGATACAGTGAAGGAGTGAGTCCACTGGTCCATGTTCTCCTGCAGTCAGTGAGACATAGATCTGAGTGTCGTCTGCGTAGTTGTGATAGGACAATTCATTTCTGCGTATTAACTGACCTAACGGCAGCATGTAGAGATTGACCAGAAGAGGTCCCAGGATTGACCCCTGTGGTGCTCCACAGTTCAGGACCTTTTGATCTGAGACGCAGTTTCCAATCTCCACAAAGTACTTCTTGTCTTCAAGGTAAGACCTAAACCAACTTAGGGCGGTGCCAGCGCGCACCAGTCCTAGCCGAAGGGACCAGGCACAGCAGCACCAGATCTACAGATTAGATTGCTGCTCGTCACCGATCATTGTACTGACGAGAGCAGTCTCAGTGCTGTGGTGGGGTCTAAAGCCAGACTGAAACATGTCAAATGAGTTATTGATAATAAGAAATTTAGTAAACTGTAGGTAGACAACTTTTTCAAGGACTTTCCCCATAAATGGCAGATTTGAGATGGGACGATAATTGTGGGGCCTGATGACTGCAGTTTTCTGGGCCTTTGGGAATATTCCAGAATTAAGGGACATGTTTACTATCTGTGTGAGTGAAGGTAACAGACTGATCAGAACAGACTTCAGAAATCTAGTGGGTAGTACATCCAGGCTGCACGTGGAGGAGCTCAAACTGGAGATTATCTCTTGGACATTTTTATCATCTACGGGTGCAAAGTGAGTTAGCTCAAAGAGCCAAATGCGGCATGTCTGTAATTTGTAAAGTAATGATTCCGCTGCAAATTACCTCCTGTATTTGATCAAACACAGACGTCCTCTGATAATACTTATCCTGTGCGAATCTGCATGTCAGTGATTGTGTTCGCTTTTGCCACTTTTGCTTGACTTTCTGCGTTGTTTTTATCAATGAGCAGAGGAGTGAACACCCGCGGAGTCGCGGCTGCTGCAGTCTCTGTGAGGTTTATGGAGAAGTGTAGAGGACAGTGAAATGTGTTCACTGACACTAAATGATCAGACTGCTGGGTTGTGTTCGTATGTTTACTCTGCGTCTTAATATATACAGTCTATGGTCTCTGCACAGACGTGTTGCTGCAGCCGTTTGTCGGCTCGCGCGTATGTCAGCAGAGTATTAGATGCGTTTACGGGTAGTCCGTACAAAAAGTATTGTTTTAAGATTACAGAAAGTACAGGTCAGAGAACTGTAGAGCAGTAAAATCCACATGTATGTGTTTGTCCTCATGGTCCCTGTGGCTGCTGTGATCAGACACCAGTCTCTATGAACTGCGTGAAGCAGAAAGACCCGTGCACGTGCAGCCGTTATGTCAGATGTCAGTGAAAATTACAGACATCGCTTATGCTGTGTGAATGCACTGCACAATCTCAGACGTCCTCCGCGATTATAACAAATCCAAACAAAGAGGTCCACAGGTAATACTAATCCCGTCCGAATAGGGCTTTAGTCCTGTGTGAATGTGCCATGATTGTAAAGTAATAATTCAGCAGCAAATTACCTCCTGTGTTTGGATTGTGATTATGATTGCTAATGCCGCCTTCTCTCCATGTCTTGGGTCTTTTCATATCTCTTCCCAGCTCAAACCACGGAGGCTGCGGTAGAAATGTTGATTTGTAGTTTTGAAGCTACAGCAAACTAAAATACGAAAGAGCAGTGAATGACGAACATCTCTCTTCAAGAGAGGAGTCCGTGTCTCGCAGCTCTGTACACACCGGCAGAGACGCGGCAGAGAAGTGGCCTGATGCAAAAAACAATGGGCCTCATTCACAAACTATTCTAAAGAACAAATCTTTTCTTAAGTCCTTCTTACGAGGATTTTACAAAGATAGTGAAATTCATGAATTTTTCTCTTATCCAGGATTTCTGTTAGGTAAAAACAAATCCTGTGAGCACTCAGGAGCACTCTGGAGCACATTTCAGTGCCAACATGTTCACAAGCTGGTGTTGTCTTCTTTGGTTAAGTTCAATAAAATACAACATTACAGTGATATGTCTGTCATATCAATGTATGTCTTTATTCATGTAATTTTTTGTAGTAATTTAGCCTATTTTTCATTTACTTTTAAATTAAATGTGCCAACGCTTTATCAAATAACGGAAATCATGCTGTCTGTCAGAAAGTCTAATTTGTTTGGTTGTTTTAATTTGTAAACTAGATGACGTCATTAGTGAGGTCACCTGCCTTTCTGTCCCCTGCACCTCCGCTCTTGTTTTTGGGCGTTTATATAACAGCAGTACGTGTTCACGGAGGTGCGGCATGAGTTTATTTTACCCTTATCGTAATAATAACAATGCATCGTTTTTTTTTTTTTTTTTTACAGAGCTTTTTTAGACACTCAAAGATGCTTTCACACGTCATTATTCTTTCACTCCATACACGGTGGTGATAAACTACTACTACAGCTGCTGTTGGGCACACTGACAGAAGCAAGGCAACCAGTATGGGCTATTGACCCCTCCAACCACCACCAACCATTCACACACACACCAGACTCATTATGGGCAATGGGGGTGAAGTGTCTTGCCTAAGGACACAACAGCAGTTTGGCACTTTACAACCGCAGCCGCCCCACTGTGGCACCTGGTGTTCT